TCGGGGCAAGGTAAAATTTTAGGGGGGAAATATGCTTGGGTGGCCCGAGGTGAGCGTGGTCGGGCATTGTTCAAAATGTCTCGAAAGCCTCCTAAAAATATGACAATTTTGGTGTTTGAGAAGCTTATTTAATCGATAGTTAGATTCTACTAATATGTAGAAAATACATAAAATTTTTTCTCCCAGATGGTTTTTATTCTTATTGGGGGTAAACTGGCTGGGAAAGAAAACTGGCCGCTGTAATATTCTTTAAAACCCAATGATTTCACGGAAAAACTTTACAAAAATGCGCATCCTGTTGAGCACTGAATCCATCATGGTCAAATTAATAATTACCAATGTCAAATGAAGCAAACAATTAATTCAAAAATTATTTTTGCTAATTTACAAACTTTCTATACGAAATTCTTGATAATCTGCCAGTTTAAGGGTCTCATTTTTATCCTCTGTGAAATCCCTCCCCTTGGATTTGAAGGTCGACAAACTTACGAGACGAGCACGTGCTCCAAACCATGTTCTGATTGGTCAGTTGTTAAATTTGATTGACACTCAATGTATATTGGCAAAGAAAGTATTTTCTTGTATAATTTTCAGCTAATATCTTTATTATAATCCATAATTTAAAAAAGTAATTGGAATTTAAAATTGATTAAACCCCCAGAAAAATTACGACGATTATATAAAGAAATAGGCCTGAATTTTTTTAAATATCAGAAAAACCCGTGTTTGAATGAGCATTCAATACTGTATCTACCACAACACGTTTGGTGTTTTATTAATGTTATCCTTATTCGGGCATTACTTACTTACGTGATACTCCTCTTCTACATCCTCGAGCGGAGCCGAAAACCTGTTCAGCATTAAACAGCATACTTAGGTGTTCGAGTTTTTGCGTATAAAGTTGCATATTAATTAATGTTATCACAACCAAAATGTAAAAACACGCCGGGAAGGTTTATAAAGGTTTCACTTGACCTGATCAGGAATTTCAACGAACAGCTTGCATAATATATTCTTCATGCTTTGTGAGCAGAACCCAATATAATTTGTTTTTTTATTTCAATGATTTGTTAAATATTACATGTAGGTTTCACTCTATCATTGAAATCAATAATGCTACAATCTTGAATACTATATATTATTTCTGTCGACTGATAAATTTTAGAATATTAATAAAAATTAACTGCATGCGTTTGTCTTCTTCCACTCTGACGCTGATCCGGTATTTTTTTTTCTTCGGAAAATGATCCCATTCCCAGAGACAACAGAATGACAACCGATTTTACGGATCAACAGATTTACCTAAAATGGCTTTGTTTTAGATGTCAATCATAATTCTCGTGTGTTTAAAAGGGAAGGTGTCCATCCAAACCATTCAGATGTTTTCCATCTCGGAAGCGAATATCGTCTCTGGTTTTTAAAATTTATCCTGGAATAAAAGAATACTTATCAAGTATGGCAGAAGATTCGATCCGCCGGGAGACGATAGACGAGGCCTTCCTCAAGTGCCCGATTCACAACGACAGGTACGAGCGCGCTAAAACACTACCTTGCTTGCACGCTCAATGCCTGGATTGCTTGGAGAAATCCGTCCATTCCAATGGCGGGAAATTGATTTGTGCTGCCTGCCAACAGGAGCATATCTTCCCAAAAAGAGGTATTGAGGAGCTTCCAAACAGCATGTTCCTTCGAAGCTTGATTAATTTTATTGACAAGCATGGAAATGGAAACTTGCGTAGTGATCGAATCTGTATGGAACCTACATTTTGTTTGAAGCATTCTAACACTGAAATCAGTCGATTCTGCATTACTTGCCAAGAAGTGGTTTGCTCCCGTTGCATCACTGTATCTCACCCTGCTGACGATCACAAACTTGAAGACGTTCAACGTAGCTACGTAGACAAGAGAGAGGAAGTGCTCGGTCTTCTTGGGGAGAGTCGCGAGAAGATTGAAACTATCGACACTGCTTATGAACGAGTAGAAAGTGTTGGTGAAGAGTTAAGGAAGAACACCGAAGCTGCCAAATCTGCTGTAGAAGGTATTGCCAGACGTCTCTGTGAAAAGGTAAGCTCACTGGTAATTCTTAAAGACACCGAATTTACAAAAGAAAATGTCCAAATCTATTTTCCTAACACCTTAAAACATTTTAACTTCTATAGTCTTGCTACTAATTTTCTTTGCTGCAAGTTCCCGAGTTCTTGTTTTCATGAGATTTTCTATATATATTCAATTTGAGTAGACACTGTAGAACTGACGGACGTTGATTTAGGCCTACAATTTTTCCTACAGTTTTTTTTTAAATTATTATTTAATCACAGGTTATGAAATATCGTGATGAGCTTCTGCGTGACATCGATCGAACATGTGCTGTAAAGAAAGACGGCGTTGACAAGCAGCTCCTCCATCTTCGCAACGCTCGTCGCGAATTGTCTGACAGCTGTGAATTTGCCGATAATCTCGTAGCATTTGGTAACCATGTGACACTTCCAGCTGAAGGTACAAAAACCATCAATCGATTGGAAGATCTTCTTTCCAAAAAGGTCTGCAATATATTTTTAATATTTTTTTTGGTGGTTTTACTAGGCTTTGTGAAACTCAATGCATATAGGCATTATAGGCCTACAAACTTTAAACAAAATTACCCTAATACCTTTAGCGGTCTTGAGAGATATATAATACTATTAGGCTAGGCTGTAGGACTGCTTTATAGTTTTAATTTTTTTTTTATCTTAAAGAAATTAAAACATCTTTAGGCAAGGTAACATATACAGACAAAATCTTAACGCTGTTTTACAATAATACTCCAAACAATAAGGCAAACAAAGTAAAATACAAATAGTAAAAACTTTGGTGGAAAACTGTCCCCCGACGTATACCAACCCGGTATTTCTGAGCCAAGGTTTCGGGGCCAGAAATTAGCCTACTGTTAAAGGTTAGGCTTAACTACATCTCTTAACTACAATATCGTAAAAGCTATCCCCGCCGCGCCGGACACCAACCCGATATTTCTGAGTCAAGGTTTCGGGGCCGGGATTACATGGTAGAACAAGTAGAATCACTAAAATACAAATGGTAAAAACTATCCCCGACGGACACCATCCAGGTATTTCTGAGTCAGGGTTTCGGGGCTGAGATTACAATTTTTTTAAATTAAGAGGCGTCAATTTTAAACATACTTTATCTTTTTCTGCATCTAGGTGAACATCGCCCCGATTGAAACCTCCAACCTGGAATTCCAGATTAACGATGAGTTTGAGCAAGATCTGCGCAAAGACTGCGTAGGACGCGTTGGAACAACTCTACCAGCTGACCCTCTGAAATCCAAAGTGGAGAACGTCAGCGAGAAGGATGCAACTGTTGGTGTCGAATTACAATTCCTGGTAAGAATCACACATTGCATTATATTACAAACAAAACAAACCGCAGCCATTGTCTAATTCTTCTTGAGAAAAAGTTATCTACGACTAAAATGGAGTGTGTGAAGCTCTATCAGTGGCCACTGACCAGGAGAGAATACAGAGATGTCCGAAAGGGAATCCAATGTCCCCGATAGGGGTACCGGTCAAGAAACAACCATTCCCCCCCCCCCCTAGACACCCGGAAATAGCCTCTGAGGCGGTTTGGGCGATCAATAATTTCTTTCTTACTCTTTTTTTCCCGGTTGCTTTTAAATTTTCCGAAAAACCCTGTAATGACCTAACCGTAACGTTTCTTGCGTTTGCGTCAAATATCCCATGATTTAAATGTAAAGCAATCTTCAGTCAATGTGAAATATGCATTTTAAAACAATTAAATTTTTAGGCCTACATCATTTTTAAAATTATTTTTTGTATCATTTCAAAAGGTCACACTCTGTGATGAGATGGGCACTCAAATTGCCGAGGGAGGAAGTGATGTCGTGGCCCGTATGGAATCAGCAGATAAAAGCATCATGCCTATTCTAGCAAACGACAACAGTGATGGAACATACGCCATTAAATTCGTCCCACATCGTTTTGGAAAGATCAAAGTCCATGCTACCGTGTTCGGAGATCCAGTAACTGGATCACCTTTCGAAGTGAATGTCGCTCCACGAGGCGGATTGGCTTTCGAATACGGTGGCTCTAACGGCCAGCTTAACCAACCACGTAGTGTCACGACCAATTCGGAGGGCAACTACATCATATCTGACCGTTTCAATAATCGTATTCTTATTATGAACCGCAACGGCGAAGAGAAAGAAGAATTCACCCTGGAGTACGACGGCATGCAGCATGCTTTCAGTCCAGACGGCGTTGCAGTCACCCGCAAAGACGAGATTGTCATCGCTGACTTCTACAACCATGAGGTTTTCGTTCTCGATCGTGAAGGGAACTTGATCCGTCGATTTGCTAAGGAACTTCTTCTTGGACCAATTGGTATTGCTGTTAACAGTAAAGGTTTGATTCATGTAGTTGACCACAAGGGACGTTGTCTTAAGGTGTTCACCACTGAAGGGGTGTACATTCGAACCATCGGAGGAGAGGGAACCAAGCCTGGCAAATTCCGCATCCCATGGTTTGTGGCCATTAACAGTAAAGACCATATCTTCGTGGTCGACACAGGTAATGCACGTGTGCAGCATTTTAACGATGCTGGAAAGTACGTGCATAGTTTCTCTATTGCCTACGAGACCAAGGAGTTGAAGCCACGTGGCATTGCCATCGATGGCAGAGATCGTATCATTGTAGCAGGAGGCAACCGCATCTCCATGTACGGCTGTGATGGTAAGCTCCTCAAGAGAATCGACAAGCCCGAGGACGGAATGAGTTTCCCTTGTGGCTGCACCGTCACTAAAGACAAGCCTGCCCTAGCCCTAGTCTGTAATGGACCTCCAGACGGAGACAAACACACCGTCAAGGGATTTGTTATTGGATAATCAGCTTTTGGGACGTGGCTAGCACCCACATATTGCGTGAGGGTTTTGGTTTTATATTCCGGGAAGCATGCACCACACTCAATTCTCCGCTTTTCTAGGTGGTTAATATATTTTCAGTGCTTATCTTTGACTAATTATGTTTATGCATTATCCTGTTTATCCTCGATTAGGCCTATCCCAGAGTATCCTCTCCGTAATTTTCAAGTATCAAATTTTTTTTTCATCAATTTGTGATTATAGGATCGTAGACTCGTAGACAGCGGACATCATTATGACATATAATGTCCAGACCAACTGAACACCCACCGATTAGGTTAAGATTATTTAGTAGAATTTTGGACTTGCACCTAAGGGGCTACTGTAAGGAATTAGATATTAATTGATTGTTGAGTTAGGATCTAAGCATTACATCCTGAAAGCGTTGATTTTATTTAATGAAACTATTTAATGAATATTTTTCTCAAATTTCTATACGTAAAAATTAGGGTCTTTACCCTCTTCATTATTCTGTCATGGGCAGTTCCTATTATTTTCATTTTTAGAAGATAAAAAACATCTAAACACTTGAAAAATAAACGTACATAAAAATACTCTAATGAGTATTCGTGTGTGCTACACAATTTTGTGTCGCCATCTTGTGAGAGGTGTCGCATCTGGCAATCCTCTTTTTGACGAAACCCAGACGAAAAACATAGACTTATTTGTACTTGTAGAATTTTCAAGAATTCCATAATCGATAACCTTTTGATTTGTAAGCCGGGAAAAGCAATATTTATTGCTTTGTATTTTTATTATAATGAAAATCGCTTTATTTACCTTGTATTTCCAGTAAGAGAGCTAGCTAGCCTAAGTTATAAAACGTTTGGATGTAGAATTTTATTGACGGGGATTTTTTAGGCGGTACTGTATCATGATTCGAAAGGAAAAGAAGATATATTGAAGATATGAGCTGACCAGGTTAAGTACTGTAGGCATGTTTGCAGTTTAGAGGAAGCAAGTCAATTATTGTAACATCCGATAACGATAAGACAAATAATAAATGTTTTTATAGCGAGCATCTAATCTTCTTGACTATTTATGTACGTTTGTGATAAGAGTAAAATATCAAGGATGCAGTGCCTTTGTTAAAATCTGAATACCTGCAAACTCAAACATTGAATTAAACGATTTAATTTATTTAATTTATACAAGATTAAAAAAATGATCTGTTTCCGCTATATATTTTTTTTTATGAGGGAAAATATTTTTTTATGAGGGAAAATATTTGTTTTTCATTTAAATTCTTCTTAAAGCAAATGAATATGACAACTCAACACAAAAATTACAGTATATCCATAAGCAACGAAAATAATAATGTAATTTCCATACTTTTCCATGACAAATATCTGCGATTTGTTCATATACGGGCATGGTGATGTGTACGTAGGAAACGGGCATGGTGATGTGTACGTAGGAGACTGTCTTAATGTTGTTGTTCATGTTAGGCGCTTAACCCCGGGCCTAGTTCGAATTATATTTTTTATTTAGTCCATAGGTCTATACATTTACATGTACATTTTATCATATAAAACATTAAAGCAAAAATGCTAATAAAATGTAAGTAACAACATTTTGATTAAAAAACAAACACGAAAAATCCAAAGAAATCAAATTCAATAATGAGATCATAAGAACAATATATATATATATATATATATATATACTGTCTCTTATACACATCTAGATGTGTATAAGAGACGGGTAATGGTATATTTCTATATGATATGATGCTTCAATTTTGTCATGGTTACTTTAGGTTTTGTAGATGACGCCATAATTGCGACTGTATCTGAGGAAATGAACTATAGCTGGAAAGGTTTTGGTGTCCGTTTAGGTGTTTCATGGGCTAGAGTTAAAGGGTTTTGGACTGAAGAACAGCTGAACTCACAAAAAGCTATCGCTAATATGATGAAGTATTGGAGAGAAAATGTCAAAAATGAAACGCACCAACTGAAAATGTTGTGCACTGCTTTGAGGCAACATGGCTACAAGAGACTAGCTGGGGAATTATTCAGTGGTGATCTCGGCAACGAAATTCTGACCTTAGCCAAACATGAAGGTGAGTTGTAGTGAGAGGTAAACCAGTGATGGCGCCAGGATCCGCCCAACGGGGGGTGCTAAAAGCCCCGACTGGGTGGAGCTAGGCGAGCAAATGAGTCTTAATTGGCTGGGGGTTGGGGGTAGCTGGCTAGGGACCACTGTGGGGGCTACGGACATTTGACAAATTTTGGTGAATTTTTATTAGTTATTTGATATCAAGCTACCGTAATATGACATCATTAAGCATATATATATATATATATATATATATATATATATATTCTAGGCCTGAATGCCAGATTGGTCAGTATAAACTGAATATACGCGCTCTCCAGACAATTAGCACGTACGCTTTGCGCTTTTTGAAGTACCAAACTCAGCAACAATATCGAAGGGTCTCAGTTTGCCACCCTGACTCCAATCATATCACTCGCTTTGCCTTTAGTACGGCTATCATGATCAATACCAGCAATGTATTGATATCCTTCTCTTATTTTACTGTATTCTTAAAACACTGCAAGCTAAACACCCTTCTCCAAACTTTTATGATGCCCTTGTAAACATACTGTACATTGCTAAAGTCAAGTGACAATTTAAATCAATTATCATCACATCACTGTTATATAGAATAAATGTATATTGAAATTGAATTGAATTGAATAGTCAACAGATCTTTTATCAGCGATTTTCGGTAACCACAGAGACCTAATTAATATACCATAGAAAATAAAACTTAAAAACATTGTTTATGATGTATTTACTTTGCCTAATTCAAAAGCGTCCACACCAACCTCAGCCGTGGTTGGGGCTGAGGTGAGAACAATTGAGGAAATAGTACCTTTAGGTGGGCGGAAATGACGCTTTTATATAGTAACATTCATCATCACATCACCATTATACCATCAAAATGAAGCGCCAACAAATTCTCATGATCTTTTATTAGCTTTTTTTTTGGCAATAATAGAGATCTAATTAATGCTTGATGTACGGTACTATAGAAAATAAAACTTAAAAACATGTTGTCTTTGATGTATTTACTTTACCTACTTCAAAACTGTGAGTGCACACCCATCTCAGCCTCACCATAGTTGGAGCTGAGGTTGTAAAATTTGTGGAAATAGTACTCTAGATTGCCGGATAGACACTCTAATATAGTAAAATTCATCATCATGGATCTAATTAATCGCTGTGATGTACCATATAAAATAAAAATAGTACCTTTTATAGATGGCCGAAAATGACACCTTTATATAGTAAAATTCATCAATCATCACATCACAATTAGGGCCTATATTGTCAAAATGAAGCACCAACAATTTCTCATGACCTTTTATCAGCTATTTTCGGCAAAAATAAAGATCTAGTTAATAAGCTTGATGTACTGTACTAAAGAAAATAACTTAAAATATTGTCTTTGATGTATTTACTTTACCTACTTCAAAACCGTGGGTCCACACCTATCTCAGCCCCACCATAAAATGGGATTGAGGTGGTAAAATTTGTGGAAATAGTATCGCTAGATTGCCGGATATGACACTCTTATATAGTAAAATTCATCATCATCCATCTAATTAATCGCTGTGATGTACCATATAAAATAAACTTAATTCTCTTTGATGTATTTACTTACTTTACCCATTTCTTGTGCCGAAAACCAATCTTGTCTTTGCACGTTTTTTGTCATAGGCCTACTTCTCAAATTATAATATTGGCATTACAGGTAATTTAGATGTTTGTGGGCAGAGATACTGGTATGTTGCTATAAACTAATATTTCACAATTTTCAGGCATTTTCTTGACTTATGAAATTGCGGACGAAAAGTGAGGGGACCATCCCCCTTAAAAATATGTGGGTAATATTTCACAATTTTCAGGCATTTTCTTGACTTATGAAATTGCGGACGAAAAGTGAGGGGACCATCCCCCTTAAAAATATGTGGGGCCCCCTTAAAAATATGTGGGGCCCCCTTAAAAATATGTGGGGGGGGGTCGTGTCCCCTTCCCCCATGATCTGCGCCCATGGGTGCATGCGAGTACAATTTTCTTGAGAAATCTTGAGAATATGGGCCTCTGGGTGCAAAGAAATTGCACTCTCATACCTTAAATATGTTAACAATAATTGATGTCAACAATATAATCAGTGGCGTAACGATGGGGGTCAGGAGCCTTGTGGCTGTCTGAGAAGTAGGGGCTTTTGGGTCCTGGTCGCCAATTCCATTAAGGATTTTAAATGTGCTCGTTTTTTAATTGTGTTTGTTATTGCATTCTAAATGTTTTAACGACAAAATAAATGGTATGAGTGGCGAATCCAGGAATTAGGGCCCAGGGAGAGAATTTGACTGATAAAGGGTCAATACCACCTCAGCCCCACTAAGGTTGGGGCTGAGGTAAAAAAAAAATTATGATTATGGCACCTCAAACGGCTGGAAATGGCACTCACTTTTATTTTATTTTATTTTTTTAAAACATCTTTAGGCAGGATAACATATACAGGCGAGATCTTACCGCCGTTTTACAATATGGTCCTGCAAACACATATTAAAATAACAACAACAAAAGTAACCATCACAGTACAACAAAATAAACAACAGTTAAAACCTCACAGACTTACAATTTAAAAATTTAGGGCCTCCTTTAATTCGCCACTGGATATAAATGTAATACGATATACTGTACAGTCGATGTCAGAGACACTGCTGTTGTGTTTCAACAAAGCCCTTTTGGGTCAGGGTGCTAGATCGAGGACCATCTGGTTAGGGGCCCCTGCAGACCGCCGCAAGAGAGTGTTACGCCACCGAATATAATACAATAATTATTTTTCTTAATACAATTTGGGGGATGCGATCGCACCGTCTGCACCCCTCCCCCGCATCCGCCCCAGGCTGGCACTGCCACTGGTGATTAGGCTTAATATGCAAGTTTACGCTGTCGTTAGAGTAATCGGTCTTCAGTCAGGGACATTCAACACCCCGTCGGACAAATCCTGGCACAAGTACTGCCTCCTAGGGCCCTATATGAATTTTCTGTTTGCTTTAAAAACTAATTTCCAACAAAAATCTTGATACAATGTTTAAGTAGTATATTTGAGGTATATGCGAGGACAGCTTGTTTGTGCTGGCATTGTTATTTTGGATTGTTTACAGTTAGAAACCTCTGGGGATCACTACGTACAAGATCTCTGGACCACCATGGCATACTAGGGGACTTTGTCATACAAAAGTCTGAAAAAAAAAAAAAAACAAAACAAAACAAACAAAAAAACATGCTTTCCTATTCACATAGTAATAAAAAATGAATACACAAATATAGAAATAAAAAATATATTGAAATTAAGTATGATAAGTTGTTTAGTCCCCACCAGGGATTCGAAACATACATGTAAACCCACAGGAATACTGTAAAATTAAACGGATGTCAATAAAATGGATCAGTAGTTTCTCTGTCAAGAAGCAAGAATATAAAAAACAGGTCACATATGAGGGCAGCTTTATATACTGTACACTTTTTTCACATTTAATAATTTGCACACATCCATTGGTAACACAAGCGAAAATGGCTACTAATACTGTTATTACAGTTTATCAATCAGCTACTAAAATATCACGCATTGAATTACAAATATATTGCATATTAATGTACTTATCTACTAAATGCTACAGAAAATATCATACAGCCTTGAAAATATGACCTTACAGTATATATATATATTTCTCCCAAATAAAATTAACAAGAAGCACATAACTTGTCAATTACAGGATGGAATGGTGCTTTATTAGGCAAAACTTCTTTTATTCCTTGTATTGCGAACTTATTTTCTTAAAGATTGTCAGAGGACGACGAAAAAAACAAAATCAAAATTATGTTTTCTTATTTAGCAAATCGTTTTGTCAAAAACATCCAATGAAAGAGAAAATAAAAATATCAAAATAAAATTTTATTTGTGAATGTGAACAGTGTAGTAATTGGATGGTTTGGAAAAAAACAAAATCAAAATTATGTTTTCTTATTTAGCAAATCGTTTTGTCAAAAACATGCAATGAAAGAGAAAATAAAAATATCAAAATAAAATTTTATTTGTGAATGTGAACAGTGTAGTAATTGGATGGTTAAATGCTTTAAATTAATATAATTAAAAAGAAAAATGCATGTATTATATTTGCATATTTCAAGGCAGTGGCGGGTATAATAAAAATGAAGAAAAGCTTTTTTTTTTCTGAAATTACTTCTTTTTTTTGTGTGTGTCGGCGGGTGCACTAATTGTCCAAAGTTAGAATTTTATTTTTATTCAAAATTAACACTGATTGGCGGTCGCCGGGTTCGCTAAACAAGACATAAAAAGTCTTGCCTAAGGCTTAGAGAGTAGAATTGTTTTTAGCCAAAATATTGCCGCAATAACAAGACACTGGGATTGGACAATAATCATCTTAAACATCAAGGAATTAAACTGCACTCTTTATACTTAAATTTTTTTTTTAACAATATAAATTTCTCTTTAATTGTTCATGTGTAGCAATTTAGAAAGAGATAGTATTTACAAATTGAAAGACTGGCATATTTTCAGCTGAGTTAACACATTGTTTTGGAAGATTTTGTTCAAATCAGACACCTTTGTCTATGCCGGCAGCAGATGAAGTGACAGGGTTTTTTTTGTGAACGAGTATTTTATGCTTCATTGCAACTACATAAATACATTATGATTGCAATGATATAGGCCTTCAAGACAGGTGGCATGCAGGGCTCGTACTGGGAATCCTGCCAAAATTCAACAGTGTATGAACAACCTTGCAGGATTGGATAAAATACTAGAAGAGTTACTACTATTAAGGAGAACGTAGAGACAACAGCAGAGGTGACTGGTAAGAAATTTTTGGGATGGGACTGAGATAGCTGATCAATATTGGATAAAATGCAATCAGAAAAAATCTATATTTGTGGCAAGACCAGCCAAACCAGTCACTTGACTAAAATCATGATCAAAACATGCTGGAATGTCAAATATTTTTAAAATCTATTTTATTGCACTAAACTAACTGTTATATAACTATTACATCATGCTATGCTGTTATTTTCCCTATTTTCAGTGTTAAAACAACAATTTGGTGATGGTTTCTGCCTGAGAAATGCCTGAAATCATGAACTTTGAAGGTTGATTTCTCAAATATTGTTCTTTAAACAGCTGCATGTTTAAATGCTTCATATGGAAATGTTGAATTCTTTTACCACTTTATAGCTCTCACTTTACTGTTAACCCTGTATTAATAACTAAAGATCAACTTTTGCGACGAGTGACTGGTTTTGCTTGTCTTTGCCACATTTGTTCTATTACAATGTAAGAGTTGGCAACATCTGATGAAACCCATCAAATGGGGGCAAAAACTTGTGAAACAAATATAAAATAAACATGTATCATACTATAAAATGCTACTTTTGAAATATAGAGTACTTTGATAGAAATTGAGTCAGCTATATTCAACATAGGATTCTAGCATACAATTATAATGAACATGCTAAAGCCTGATGCAACTACATAATACAGTATAATATTAATAAATAATTAGAACATCTTCCAAATGTTTGTTCAATTAAGTAATTTGATGGATATCCTCTTCAAACAATCTCTTTGGTTTCAATATTGCTTCCTTTTAAAATCTATTATACATAAAAACACCGTATTGATAAATATAGCTCTTGGTTTAAACAATGCGTACAAATACTGTAGGTAGATTCTAATACATTTTTTTGCTTTCTCCCAAGCAAAATGCACCCATATTTCCCTCCCTCTATATTCCCACTCCTACATGTAGCTCAATACCAATAAATTGCTAACAATGTACACATGTAGTTTACAGCTTCAAAAGCTATAGTTAGCTATACTTAGAAGCCTAATTCTTAGCTCACAAGGTAAAATCTGCAGCATACAGCTCAAAATCATGGCTCACGGCTGAAATTTGTTCAAAAACTTTATGGTTTATGGCTCACATTTCAAATCCATGGTTCACAGCTCAAACCCATAGTTCAAAACTCAAATCCATGGTTCACAGCTTAAATCTATGATTCACAGTTTAAATCCATGATTTACTGCTCAAATCCATAGTTAACAGCTTAAATCTAAGTTCACAGCGCAAATCCATGATTCACAGCTCAAATTCATAGTTAACACCTTAAATCCATGGTTCACAGTTAAAATCCACAGTTTACAGTTTAAATTCATAGTTTGCATCCTCAAATCCATAGTTTACAGCTCAAAGCCATGGTTCACAGCTAAAATCCATGGTTCACAGTTGAAACCGATAGATTACAGTTCAAATCCATAGGTAATCTTAAATCCATGATGCACAGCTCAAATCCATAGTTTACAGCTTAAATCCATATTTTACAACTTAAATCCATGGTTTACAGATCCATAGTTCACAGCTTAAAGCAATGGTCCACAGCTCAAAATAGCATGCACAGCTGCTTATCAGTGTACTTGTTTTTTATTTTAAAATCTAATAAGTAATATTAATTAACTCATCAAACAATGAACAAACAGTTTCAAGCAATCTGATCATCATAATCGTCGTCGTCATCCTGAAACAAATTGTCATCATGAACATGGATCTGAGAATACAATACGTGACTGCGAGGATCAAGACGACCGGTGAGTTTTTGGTAAACAGCCCAGATAGTCAGGCTGAAGCTGAAGGCAAGGAGCATGCATACACTTATCAAAGCAAGAGTGATCTGTGAGGGCATTGACTTTTCAGCCTGTAAGAAAAACGTTTATTTTGATATTGAAGGGTGAAACACCAAACTACTAAATAATATTTGGGATAAAATCAAGTAATGAAAACATCATACAATTGAGATAAAGGTGTAGGTATGTAGCACATCATTATAACAATATATGCTTACAAATACTATATAAATTATTTTGAAAAAAAAGCTAGCTTCAACAATAAAGTTTTCTCTAGTGGTGGCTAGAGAATTTTGCTGACAGTCACAGACGGTTCAACACATTGGTCAGTGTCCCTGAATAAATTCCCAATATTATGGTTTAGGAAGAACCAAACTTGTACTTTGATACATCAATATTAGGGAGTGGCAATCACAATAAGTTAGTTTTGATCAGAAAATTTATGATTTTGGCTTGATGACCTTGTCGTGGCAACATCGAAAGGAGAGGGGGGGTGTTATGTTTTCTGAAAATTGCCTACCCTTTTTTGCCGCCACTGCCTTTCTCATGATCTATTGTTTAATGTATGTTAGCTGTATATTCCAATACAGAAGTCTGTATGCATTAATGCTACCCTGGACATTGGATGTATGAATCAATCACACAATATACCAACTCCTACTGTAGGCTCACCCATATTCTCAGCCATGTGTATGTAATCAGCACATACCAATTTCATTCCACATCATCCATATTCAACCAGGTACCTATATACTCACTTTACACCAAATTAAATATCACATGATTCACCTTTTCCCTAGTAACAGATGTATCTATGCCAACACCATTCAGTTGTGATGAAAGCTGCCTCATTTCCAAAGATGTTAAATTTCCAGCAATTATTTGAATTAACCTAAAAATAAGTAAAACCATTCAGTCAACAAAATCTCTTTTTGTCTTAAAAACATGAAATTTTGCATAACATGAATACCGTAAAACCTCAAATTAAAGCCCTGGGCTTCTTTTTTTATTTTTGCGAACATTGGATGGGCTTCTTTTCGAGGTTAATTTTCCAAAGTAAAGAGGGGGCTTCTTTTCAAAATGAATGCTGTAAATTTTGGGAATTACTACTATAAAACAATAAATAGGGTCATTGTAACATCAATCTGTATCATGGAGTCTATTAACTGACATAAATCACCTAAACTACTGTATAAAACAAGAATGTTTTTAATTTATTTTGTTTCTTTGAAATTCATGTACAGTGTATGTACTGTACTATCTCAAAAAAAAAAAGCCCATGCTATCTTGAAAAGAAACCTGTGGGATTCTTTTCAAGATGGGCATCTTTTGAGGCTACTTTGCAAACTAAAGAGGGGCTTCACTTCGAGATGGTCTTCTTCTCAAGATTAAGCCCATTGGGCTTTTATTCAAGGTTTTACAGTATATCTTTGAAAAGGCCACTATTTGAAAGTAATATACTACCAATACTTCACCAATCTTGGCAACAGAAACATTTATTGTACTGTACCTTTAAGCAGAAAATTGAAGCTATTTTTGTGAATTAATTTTTTTCTCTCCAAAATTACCTTAGGATATCTGATGTCATATTTGGATTGCAAATGTCAAATATTTCACTTATACCATCAATCTGTGAAGAAAATTAACACAACAGTTTGTAAAACATTCCTCCAGAACATGATCTGTATTTCACTATACTACTACATCTGTACTTTAATTTAGCACACTTGTTCACTTACTGTATAATTTAATTATACCGTAAAACACTTCATCTTTACTACAGCACACTTTCCTACTGGTACGTACATCACTGTAGTACTATAGGCCTCAACGGCACACTTTCTTTAAAATTTAGCATAGTTCAGCACTGCAGAAAACTTCTCCTCACTGTTTCTTAAAAGTATGGGATGATTTGGAAGTCATTTACCTGGGATTCTGCTGAAAGGAGATTTAAGGCAACGATGCTCATCTTGCTGCATTCCTCCGACATCACCATCTCGTCTTTGCAGAGCAGTTTATTTAGAAATACCATGGTAAAGCTACTTGAAGATTGGGAGGAAAGTAACTGAAACAAAAAAAAATTATATTAATTTTAAAGTGGTATTTCTTTTAGCAAAAAACCCTAATTGTCCCATATTAAAGTCTTATACTGTATCTCAGTCAAAAACAATAGTTTTAAAATTGGCTTTAAATCACAGTACTGTACAGGATTTCATATCAATCATGGCAGAAATGGGCCTAATGGGGGCGAGTCTGTACCCGACTGTAAAATAAGGCCTGCGCAGGGAATATATCTTCTGCAGAAAATTAGGCTTAGAAATCTCTGCATATTTTGGAAAATAAGGGCCAATTTCCACACAATTATTTTTGACGAAAATTAGGCACTTGCCTATATAATAAGTATAATTAAATGTATTATTACTAGTTACAATTCTGTGAACCTATTTTCCTAGAAATTTTCCATGAAAATTTGTGGTACTTTTCGATGTATCCCTGCACAATTAAAATACTTTACAGTGTGGTCTAGGCCTAGGCCTATGTATTTATTATACATTAAATATTAATTACAGCAAATCAAGTATTAATATTATTATTACTTTTATCTTATTTTCTGGAAAGATTGATGTACAGTCTTTGCTGTTTCTCATACAAAAATCGACAACACAACACAATTTTATAACTTCGGTACGAAAATCTTGACTCCAAAATGCTTCAACAGATTTCATAACAGTTCCTTTAGAAAGACAGTCTCGCAGTTGTGTACTTCTTGGGCACTGAAGACTTATTTCAGTGGCCACTCTTTGGTCATTGAATGAATGCAGAGGCTTCAGCAGCGGCTGGGTGCAAGTATTCGAAGCTTCTCCACTTGTACTGGCTGACAATAGAATCTCATTTTTAGCATCAGTGAGAGCTTCTAGAACTTTAGAAAATAAATATGCTGGTTCTCTATTATCACTTCTACGAGAATGGATTGCATCCGAGAGTTGGAAAATAGCAAATAATGAGATAATCGTAAACACTCGCAGACAATAATTAGGCCTAGACTTTAATACAATCGTTTCCATCTTGAAATACAGATACTTAGAGTGGGCACGAGTGTCTTTATTGGTAGTTAATTTAACAATGTGTCAGCATAGCCTCGTTCCAAGTCCAAGTATCAGGTACGCTTGAGCGTTTACCGTGTTTTATTCCGAAGTCGACAAGTTCTTCACCGAAATGTATCAATTGTCCACCTAGGCCTAGTTTAGGCAATTACTTGATCAACATGATTCAAAATGAATACGTGGAGAATATATCTGCGTCACTGGTTCGAGAATACCTCAGTAGAAAGGTAAAAATGCAGTTTGCTCTATCTTCCATTCCTAGGGCCAGCTAGGCAAGGTAACCACAAAATTAGTAATCGTATGTTTCCATGGAGCAGTGACGCTCCGATGCTATTCTCTGCTCGTAGCGGCTGCTACATGCATGTCACGTCTGCAGAGAGAATCATGGTTCGGTGTACTGTTTCTGGGCCTCTGGCCCTCTGAATCTCGATCATCGGCATAATGGCATAATACCATAGGCCTAGAATAGACCTATTTTAATACATTACTTAGATAGGCTTTTCTTTTTCCATCTTGATTTCAGAGTACAAAAACATTTTTCAATTTTTTTTCAATCATATAGGCCTAGTGGTGTAGACTAGTCTTTTAAAAACATTTTGCTGGAAAATGTTTTTGGATACGATGAACCCGTTATTATGGATTTGATTTTTTAAATAACATGATGTCAGAAAATCAGCCCAAAAGCTTATCTTATTTCTGTTGGTTATGCACCGCTGATTCGCAATGTTTGTCATCACTTCAAGATGTCTACCGATTCGTGAAAAAGGCCTCATCATGAACAGCTATTAATGTTATTGTGAGTTTTTAAATTGTATGTTTCTTGTTTACACAGGGCCTCAAGTCTACTCTTCAAGCAATGGATAGTGAACTCCCAAGAAACGATTATAGCATTAACAATCGAGCGCAACTTGCCAAAGAAATACATATTAGTAATTTGATGAAAAGAAATAAGGTACAAAATCCTAGGAATATGGTTACAGGTTGCTGCAACTCGTACATACAGATTTGAAAAAACGGCAACAGCCATAATTTTAAATGCCTTATTATCTTGTGGTTTGTTGCCATTTTGATATGCTCCTGAAATACTTGATATGTAGAGGGGCTTATATTTATACATGGACACAATCAAAAAAGTATATAGCTTGATGCTACAGGTGGTCATCATACGACACTACAGCAGAGTGTCTTATTTGAACAAAGTATTATATTAACAATTAAATGAGATATTCTTATGCATATGTATAAACACAGGGATTCCAAGTCTCCTGTAAGTCACGGGAGTCTCCTGGAAATCAAGACAGCCTCCCGCACTTCCGCAACCGCACTAGAATCTCTCGGAAAATAACCCATCTCCCACAAATTCGATAAATCTGCATGTTTTTACCATTTCTCCTTTATTATCATTTGTCTCACGGAAATCAGTGTCGATGGGCATCACCATAAGTAGCAAAACAAAATTAGACGTGCTAAGAAAGGCTGTTTAAACAAAGCTCTCGGAAATGACTTACTCTTCCCAATTGGGACCTCAGTGTAATAAGTATCAAATAAAGTCAATCAAACAATCAATCAATATATCAATAAATCCAGAAAAAAATTTAATAAAGGAAAGAAAATCAGTTATCAAATTAAATATAACCAGTAAAACAACTTTTTCATTATTTTATTATAACTCTGTAAAACCTCGAATTGAAGCCCAATGGGCTTAATCTTGATCTCGAATTGAACCCCTGTTTAGTTTGCAAAATTAGCCTCGAAATGAAGCACATCTTGTTTCCAGATAGCATAGGCTTCCTTTCGAGATAGTACATTATATACACTGTACATGAATTTCAAAAAGACTAAATAAATTTAAAGACAATCTTGTTTTACACAGTAGTTTATGAGATTTAATACCAGTTAACACACTCCATGATAAAAATTGATATACAGTGGCCTTAATTATTGTTTTATAGTACAAATTCCCAAAATTTACAGCATTCACTTTGCAAAAGTACATGTAGCCTCGAAAAGAAGCCCATCTCAAAATGAAGCCCATCCGGAAAAGAAGCCCATCCAAAGTTTGCAAAAAAATTAAGAAGCGCAGGGTTTCAATTCGAGGTTTTGTGACTCATTAAAGTACTTCAAAGGGTATGATGATACTAAAAGTACTTCAAAGGGTATGATGATACTAAAAGTACTTCAAAGGGTATGATGATACTAATTCCACATGATCTCATCAACAGGAACAGGATGAACCTCTGAGGTCTATGGTGGAAATTATGACAAAATTTTTTCTAGAGAAGCACAACAAGAATAATTCATCTGTTCCTATGAACAGCTCATCTACTGCATCATTGCCCGCTAGTAATGGAGGCGCTGGCAAGACATCTGCTCTTTATGATCATAGTGAATTTGGTAAGGAAGTGGCTTATTGATTTAATTGTGGATCTGCAAAATACATAACATTTGGCTTATTTGAATTATAAAAACACTCAGAATTGGATGAGATATGAATAACACAATTTATAAAATGTAGGGATTTAAAATTTTAAGAAACTTGCAGCTATAAATTTCTGAAAATATATAAATATGATATATTTTATTTATAATGCATTTTTTTTAACAATTTATTAATTTTTCATGTAGTTTTTATATAAATTACACAAGAATTACAAATATATAAAACCATCTGTAAGTGTTTTGAATATTTCCAAGTATACTGTATTAGATAAGACAAGATGAAATAAACTGAATTGTCCAATTTGTATCAAAAGTACATAAAATGTTTAATTTATTGTTAAGTATACAATGCTATCCAGAGAAAAACAGAAAAAGAAATAGCGAAAAGTAGGAAACGTTATCATGAATCTTTACTATTTATATCCAGCTTTCAGTGGCTTACCCCCGGAAGATGTATCTGGCAAGAAGGCAGCAAAAGCAACTGTTATTCATATGCCAGCTCAGCGTCCAAGCTCCAGGTTTGATGATGAGAATGAAGATGACACGAGGCCTGGGCAGTCTGACCTACATAGTAATTCAAAGAAGGAAGTCTCCTCACAGAAAATTAGCAGACCATCAAACTCACGACGACGAGGAATGTCTGGCCCCATTACTAGTAATTTAGATGTAAGCTTCTCTAAACCTCACCCAAATGTGGAAATAAAATAAGTTACAAATATACTATAAAAAATATACATATGCATAAAACTAATCACTTTAATACATTATTATTCTAATCACCATATGCCGCATTTTTTCTCAGTTTTCACATTACTTTTTACGGATGATCGATGTCGGTCCTTAAAAAACAAGGTATTTTCTAGTCAAAAATATTTGGCAGGCCGCACACATAGTGCCAGATTAATATAGGGCCCAGTGGGAAAAAATAGTGCCCGACGAACCCCAGGAAAGATCACAGAAAATCTGGTTTTATGTTTCAGCCACAAGTATTTAGGCCCATTTGCAATTACAACCCCAGGCCTCACAGCCCTTCAACCCGGCCCTGCACACACATAGATTTTTTAATTCATTTTCGCGGGCCGCTAAAAAATCACGGTCGGGCCACACTTTGCCCACCTCTACTCTTAATGCTCTGCCACATGCTTTCACATATTGACTCATCCAGTGTAAGTTTCTCCTTATACTTGCAGGATAAAAGCAGGAAAAATAAAAAGAAACCATCAGCAAATCTTTCTGGAAATTCTTCACTGACATTTGAAAATGATATTACATCTGAATATAGTAACCATATCATTGATGACTACACAGACACAAAGACCCATAAGACAGAGACCAAACACTCCACAACAGACTCCTTCCAGGATTTACTCCATGCTGCTAACATAAGAAGCTCAAAACTGAAAGAAAAGAAAAGGAATGAGAAAGATACCAAAAGTAAAGAAGAGAACCAGGAGATTAGAAGAAGCAGAGATCTGGATGAAAGGACTTCTCAGGAGAGACCACAGAGCCAAAGTGGACGTAGACGTAAATCTAGCACCAAGCAAGCATTGGAGAAATCTACGACACTGGGTGATGTTGAGTTTGGGGATGTGGATGATGTGGATGATGGCATAAAAGATCACACTGGATCTAAGACAGTGCCTTATGGATTGCAAACAAAAGTCAACTTTAACTCCAAGCCAATCACACTGAAACAAGCTATGGTAAAATATAGAGAGTAGTTCCCTACAATTGATTCTAGGCAGGGATCCAGAACTCACTCTGATTGTCGCACAGATGGGTTCACATTTCCGTGTCCTGGGGTTGGGCTCACAGGATAAACTCTATAAGGTGCAGACAATCTGAGGTTTTTAAAACAGATGTTACTTCACAGCATGTTTATTAAAATGAAACACATAAATATACTGTAGGTGCTCACATGATCTTCCAGCAGGTACTTTAGGCCTACTTTTTAGGTATTTATCTCTTGCCCTGACCTTTGTTACGGCAAACAGTGCGAAACTCTGGATCCGCGCCTAAGTAGTTTAAACATAAAATTTGTAGTACAAGATACTCACCACACAGTCAACCTTTTCAGATATATAAATGTAGTGTTTTTGTATTCCATAGGAAATTAAGAATTTGATATTTGGTACATCACAATCAGCATTCAATGATGAGTGGCGTGCACAAGGCTTTGGATTCTCTAATACTTCTCATCTTGAATATGGTATTGTCCAACATAAGGTATAAGTCACAGGCACAGGTGGAACTATAATAAATAAAATCAATTTTCTAATAACCACCATTCATTTCATTACAATTAATCATTTAGATAAGCCTATGATAATTATAACAATTTACTATTAATAAAACAAAATAATGAATTTGTACTCACAATGAACATGTAGATTGAGGGCTCTCTTGACGACACTTCCCTTACGTGACCGTAAGCAGTTCGTATCGTTTGAGGTGTGTCGCATGACTCAGCATATTTTGTTTTTATACGGCGATACACCTCATACAATAATTACGCTAATTAAGGTCATGCTTAATTGCTTCCATGATAAATATGCACGCAAGTTATAGCGCTAGAAAATCGTTTTAGCCGTGATATAGGTATATTTCATCTAATACAAGTTGACCTCATCCCACACTTCGCCATCCCCTGCCAGATGCAATGCACTCCACTATGCACTCTTTTGTCATATTCCAATCATCTGGAACAGACTTCCATGTTCCCTTTGTTACCTATCAGTCTCTTATTTGAGTTAAATAAAATTATGAATTATGAACATCACAACATGTATATTGATGTTTTAATTATCTCATTCATTACCAAATTGATTTTCTTAGGGTGGTCCTTGCGGTGTCTTAGCTTCTGTCCAGGCATGCATGATTCGTCAACTGCTATTTGGAGAAGGAAAGCTTGCAAGTCCAGCAAGCCTTCAACCTTTGACATCAGAACGCTCCCATTGTTTGGCTGGTGGGTTAGCGGATATTTTCTGGAGAGCCGGGAGCAGGAAAAGTGCAACTGTTTGCTTGTAAGTCTTTTTTAGTCTCTGAATTCCATTTTTGAAACATTACGGTGCATAAGCCTATATAAACCTGTGATTCTGTGTATTAACTGTAAATTTAATAGTGTTTGATATACTGCACTTAACATGGCACTACATACTGTACTGTAAATAATGTGCAGTGTACTTTAAATATACAGTAGTTCAGTACTGGATTTACTACACTGAAAGATATTGTGCATAGTACATGTGCAACATTGTACTCTACTAAACTTTAACTAGCAATGCAGTACATACTGTATTATTATTGAATAATACATACTGTACTAAAACTAAACATAAATACACTTTACTCTACAACTGCACTATACTTTAAACTCTAAATACTATTTTGTGTATTTTTATGTACCTGTACAAATAATATTTTTTTCAGGTCTTCAGGGCGGCCAGTTTTTACTGCAGGGGCAAGATATAAATCAGACAATCTTACTGAAACTGTAAGCAATCTTTGTCTATAGTTGGTATTCACTTAAGCCACTATCTTTGAATCCCAATGGGGACATTTTTGTCACATGTTTATTATTATCTGAAATCTATTTGTAGTATTCATGAGAATAATAAAAAACTATTTCACTGTTTTGTTTTTGTTTTTTGTTCTTGCCTCTTGTAGTTGAATTTGAACAGCTTTTCAAGCTATGAAGATTTGTATAATTTTTTGAAAGCGAACATTGGAGCATTTGAAGGCCAAAACAGCCCAGGAGTGATATTGAGTCTATACTCTGTTATATTCTCAAGAACTGTGGATAAGTATGTAATAGGGGAAGCCTCCATCTATGTGTTCTTTTTTTTGGTCTAAACTTAATTTTCATTGGGTAAACTGCTTCTCAATCACTGAAAGCAGTTTATCCGAGAACGTTTTTGATTTAACTTTCGATCCCAAACAGTAGCCACATTAGGTATGCCATTATTAAAAGACAGTAGGACCATGAAATTCTTGTAAACTAAAACATAGCATGTATGCTATATGCGAACCGTGCAAGCTAGGGTATCTAGATGTGGTTCAAATTTTCAACCACAAAGATTAAGGACCAAAATGAAAATGCCATGCATCTGGGAATCTTCAGCAGCCATAAGACTAGTGAGGTCATATTGGTTGATGTCCTTGCCAAACAATCAATATCATAGTTGAGAGGTCTAACACACTATTTTAGTTGGCAATAACATTTAAAGTGCATTTCATTTGAGTTATCAGTGCGTTGTCTGTACAGTATTTATACTTGCAAGTATCTTTTGATTGCAGAATTATTGTGGATATGGATGAACCGACAAACAAGTTAATGGGTGCTCATGGCTATTGTACTCAGGTGACTTTCTATTTCATCCTCTTTTGAAATGTTTACTTGAAATGCAAATCCACCAAATGACATTGATTTAATTGGCTGTGGTTTTATGGTTTGAGTTCAAAATGTAATGTGTACCTCTTCAGTTTTACATTATACATATACTTGTGTATGCCACATTTGAACACATGAACATATAAACAGTGGTGCTCTCTTAACATCAGGGAGTGAATGAGGCCCCGTTGGTTTCAAAGTTGCCTATTTGTTTGTCTTATAAAGCTCTGTTCACACATCAGGTTTGACAAATCACGGACATTTGTCACATTAAACCAGATAGTGCAAACAGAGCTTTAGACTAATTAAAAACAACTACATTTTCTAAGCTTCGTAATAAATTGATTAATAATTTTCATCCTGTAAGTGAAAGCAAATTTACTTTTATAATATAAAATAGAACTGAAGTTTATGAACTCCTTTCCAGGAAATGGTGAATCTGTACTTAGCAGGGGAAGCTGTGTCAAATGTGTTTAATGACATTATGGAGCTGGATTCTGGAGGCTCGGAGAAGATGTTACTAAAGGGTCTTAGTGGACGCAGTGATGTTGGACTTTTGTCCTTGTTTGAACACTATAAATCATGTGAGGTAAGAATACAACTGTTAATACCGCATACTTTGTATAGTACTTTTGCCATTCATTTTCATATTATAAAATAGCTTGATAAAAATTCTATAATGGAAATGTCAAATATAAATAAATCTTTGTTTACATTATCAAATTTTATGGGATAAATATAAACATTTATTTGACACATAAAATTTGATAGTGTGGTTAGATATCTCAGGATGTTTACATTTATATTATTTTATTGCATACATAATATAACAATCTGTCTTGGAAAATTAAGTCTTCTTTCTTGTAGAGTAGTACCCTTTAAATGTTTAAGTGGACAATTCTCATAGTGTACAAAGGCGGCAAAGTGGTCACTTTGATGGCAGTGTAAATTATTTTTCAATGTTATTCTAAATAGGTTGGACGGTACTACAAGACCCCAAAGTACCCAATATGGGTGGTGTGCAGTGAGAGTCACTTCAGTGTACTCTTCTGCATAAAGAAAGAGCTTGTTAGTGACTGGAGGGTTGAGAGGAGGTTCGATCTGTACTACTATGATGGCTTAGCAAGACAAGATGAAGAAATTAGGCTTACTATTGGTGAGTACCCAGTGGTGGCTGATTATCTTGGTTGACCTCAAATAAATATATCCAATATGGATGTATGATGAAAAATTATATTATGTCTGAACATATCAATTTATGGTCAGTGTGGAGAAATTGCTGCTACTGTAAATCTCTTCAAGGAAAAAAAAATTGTATGAATAATATTTCATTGCTTAATCAGATTTTTGTTTCTTTTCAGACACAACACAAGTGAATCCTACTTTACCAAGTGAAGATGACCTTGTTCCTCCATTAGAACTCTGCATCAGAACAAAGTAAGTGAATTCAAAACACTAAATCCTACATTACATGGTGACAGTGGCGTCGAGAGCCAGTAAGTGCCCCGGGGCAACACCTCACATGGCCCCCCCCCCTTTACTTGGGACCCCCACTCGGCCGCTCCCCAAATTAAGTCTCCTCCTAAGACCCTATTTGTCCAAACCCACATACATGAATATGATTCCATGTGATTATTTTTTTGCAATGAAAAAACGATAATTATATATATAATACACGTATATACATACCACTTTGCATGCAGTGAGAGGTACATATAAAATCAATCATAAAGATTAAGATCAGTATCATACTTTATTTCACTTACCTTAAGAGGAATTTACAAGAAATAAAACCATAAAGTAGAGTTTGTTCTGACAACAAAAGTTTCCATCCTGGCTTGGGGTCGGGCCCTATGGAGATTTTGTTCTTGCCCCGAAAATTTTTCATCTTGGTCCGGGGCAGCGACCCCCCTGACCCCCTTTCAACGCCACTGCATGGTGAAGTATTAAGTACTGATCCTACTTAAATGACTAAGGACTGTCCATACTACACACTTTCTGTTCCAATTATGTGTGTGATATGGGGCCCGGGTTTAACTACTATTAAAGAGAAAAAAAAATCTATATTTTTGGTTTTTTTGTCTGCATTTTTTCCAGGTGGCCTGATGCAGTTGTGAGTTGGAATGGATCGGAACCAATCTTATGATAGCTTTCAATTGTAATTAAAACAAAATTCATAGTTTACATTATTATTGAAGAGCGTGAAAAAAACCCGGTAAAGTAATACAAGATTGACAATTATGACTCAGTAATCGAGTGCCATGAACTTTAGTGTTGTTGATGAGGTCAATATTTTAAATTTTTAAAGTGTATTTTAGATAATTTATTTTTGTAATGATTTCGAGGTTTCTGTGACCATTTTGCAATAGAACACAAAATGGTTCTATGTATTTTAAGAAGTATTGTTTTACATGTAGCTTAATGAGAAATCATCAATAGCATAAGATTCTTGCTGGCTGGACCAGAATTTAAATACTGTTAAGTATGTTTGACTTGTAATAAGATGGGGTATAATTTTAAATAATTTGGTACCACCTATTCAGGGGTGTAGATGAGGCTGGGCCTGGAAATGTGGTAGAAAATTATACTCTTGAGACACTGAAACCACTGTCTGGAATATCCAATAATAATAGGATTACTGAACATACGATTGTAGTTTATGTGTGATCCCTGGTGTGATATAGGTATAGATAATTTGATGAATACCAATGATATGGTAATTTTCTAAAAGATAATTATGATGACTTATGTGAATGTAGAAATTACAAGTCTTAATAAATTCATTGGGACATCTCTATCAGTATCAGTGAATGCTTTTTAAAAAAAATTCTATTATTAGGTTGTTAATCACAGGTATTGTAATAAAGTACTACACTAGCATCTGTACTTTTATTATATATTATTTTATTATTTGTTAATCTTTTTAAATAATTTGGTACCACCTATTCAGGGGTGTAGGTGAGGCTGGGCCTGGAAATGTGGTAGAAAATTATACTCTTGAGACTCTGAAACCACTGTCTGGAATATCCAATAATAATAGGATTACTGAACATACGACTGTAGTTTATTTATGTGTGATCCCTGGTGTGATATAGGTATAGATAATTTGATGAATACCAATGATATGGTAATTTTCTAAAAGATAATTATGATGACTTATGTGAATGTAGAAATTACAAGTCTTAATAAATTCATTGGGACATCTCTATCAGTATCAGTGAATGCTTTAAAAAAAAAAAATATATTATTAGGTTGTTAATCACAGGTATGTAATAAAGTACTACACTAGTATCTGTACTTTTATTATTAAATATTATTTTATTATTTGTTAATCTGTATTGTCTTATCAATTATACTATATGTGCTAAGTACAGTAGCCTTTATGGTCATCTGAACTGCCTAAACATAATAGATAGAAACATTTCTTTTTTCTGGACACCCAATCAATGTGGAGACAATGTTCTTTCTTGGGTTCCAGATAACAAACACTTAAATTACAAATAAAAATAAGACGAGTTGTGTGGTACTAAAAAGTTTGACATTTTTTTTGATAGTCTATTCAAACTGTATCAGATTAAGAAATTTAAAGTCTTGTGCTATCTCCATGCTCAAGTCATATTTGGACTCATATATGTGTATATATATATATGTGTTTATATATATGTGTTTATATATACAGTATATGTGTTTATATATATGTGTTTATATATATATATATGTGTGTGTATATATTTATATGTGTGTGTATATATTTATATGTGTGTGTATATATTTATATGTGTGTATATATATATGTGTGTGTGTATATATATGTGTGTGTATATACGTGTGTGTGTGTATATATACATGTGTGTATATATACGTGTCTGTGTGTATATATACGTGTGTGTGTGTATATACTGTACTGTATACTTGTGTGTGTGTATATATACGTGTGTGTATATATATACGTGTGTATATACGTGTGTGTATATATGTGTGTGTATATATATGTATATATAAACCTTTATCTCTATATATAATTTAGAACATTTCTGATTCCGTATCACGTACAGTAGTGATGACATTGTATCACAACTGTTAGCTTTTTGGATTGTTTCTCCTGCCATGGACATATTTAGACAACACAACTCTGAATTCCAATGACATTAATCAGAACATTATTCGAACCAGTTGTATGGGATTCATAAAATAATGAAAGATAAAATTTCAAATATATTATTTCCATTAAAACAAAAGTATATACAAATCAAATTACAGTATGAACCAATTTCAATTGGAAGGGGAAGGAGGGAAAACAGATTTTTTTATTGCCAAGCTTGATAAATATATTTTTTTTTCTGAAATTTTTTTCATGGCAGCAGCAAAAATAATATAATATAAATTTATATTATTAGATATATTATTTGAAACCGACATTATCAGTGGATATTTGTAAAGCAAGGTATATACTGTATAAGTCTTGACTAATATCAAAATAAAAAAGTCCAATTTTCCTTATACCCAAATAGGATTACATTTTCAGCGCATTTAAGTGTAGTAAATTTTAGCAAATGTACCGGTACCAGCCAATCGCAATGCAAGCCTGTGTAAAACCTTCCCAACATCAACAAGAAGTTACTTTGTGCGACAATCTTTCAATAAAAAATTCCCTATTTGGGTGCAATGAATCGTAATATTATGTCTTGATGTCAAAGGTTGTTGCTGTTGTGATTGCAAAAAACCTACACAAAGTAAGGATTTTGCTTCTATTTGTAAAGCGTACCTACTTATTGCACTGGTGACCTTTGGCTCCAAGACGCATTGTGCCGGAATATGCCTAATTAATGCAATTGGTGGTGAACAATACATGATTACACTAGTTTTGATTTCCCATAATTACCACTGATCGCATTGTAGTCTGAATTGAGTAAAACATTATGTTTAAAATGGAAACATACAATGGTCAATTTAACATAAAATCATTTACACTACAATCAAATCAATCAAACAGAAAGATCAGCCAATGTTTTTTTTCATATTATACTTAGCGAATCAGCGAAATTGTTCTTATTTACCCCCAAAGAATGGGAATAAAACGGGCACTTTTTTCACGTATTCCAAGTAACGTGGATCATTCCCCCATTTACGCATTCCTTGACGCTCTAGAATAGGAACCCCAGACACTCTTGACAGCAAGAACCAAACAAACATGGGCGAGAGTGCGCTAATGTACTGTCGACCACTCATTACGGAGGATGATGAGATAAACAGACCAGTCCACAGCAAAATCTCTCCAAAATAATTAGGGTGACGACAAATACTCCACAAGCCGCTGGTAATAAAGTTTCCCTGAAAATATACCATAGAAACAAGCTTGTTAATATAAAATATTTTTACTGTATAAAAATGATAAGTTTGTCACAAAGCTTTTTTTTTCTTTCTCAAAATGTTTTATATTTTCTTTTGCAAAAACACATTATTAAAAGAGAAATGTAACAAAATAAAATAAAGCACTCAGTCAATTATACTTCTAATCTGTTGCAAAGCTTGCATTAATAATTTATAATAATTGAACCAATCAAGTCATATTATACACAGTATTACTATATTATCAGCCACCTTCTACTCAACCAATCAAATCTAACAGCATTTACTATTAATCCTACTACAGTATACACTTTTTCACGCTGCAGTAGACATCCGTCGATGACGAACAGTGATGAGCAGCGAAGCATAACCAATAGAAATAACAGCGTTTCGGCCATATTTTCGGAGGTCAAGTTACTTAAAAAATCATAACTCCTTAACGGAGGGTTGTATCTACATAATATTTTCTTTAAAATGTTCGCAAAGGATATATAATTGAAAATTTGTTTAGTCTGACAAAACTTACAGTAACTGGAAAATGGAAGACCAATTTTGTGTAGTGTTAACACACACATTGCCATTATTTCACTGTTCGACCGAATATCATATATTGCAGCATGCTGGCCATTTTTTTGAAGGTCATGTTACTTAAGGAATCATAACCCCGACATATTTTTTTCTTTAAAATGTTCGCAAAGGATATATCTAAGTACTGTATGAATAACAAAATAATAAAATTTGTTTAGTCTGTCAAAACTTAAAGCAACACACACCATACAAAATCTATTTTCCAGTTAAGTTTTGACAGACTAAACAAATTTTCAATTTTTAAAAATTCATACAGTAAGTAGATACATCCTTTGCGAACATTTTAAAGAAAAAATTATGTCAACAAAACCCGCCGTTAAGGATTTATGATTTTTTGGGCAACATGACCTCTGAAAATATGGCCGAAACGCTATGTTATTTCTGTTTGTTACACATCGCTGCTCAGCATTATTTGTCATCGATAGAACAGCGTGAAAAAGGCGTATTACTGGATTATTATTATCATTACTAGCCAATTTTTAGTCACCAATTACGATCAACCAATCAAATCATCTTACTGCATTCTCTGGATCTGCCCTGAAAACAGACTTCTGACGATCCGCCACAGTTTCCATGAGGAACCCAACAACCCACATTCCCCATCCTACGTAGTCTCTAATGCCAATCACTTGGTCTTTGCTCTCTGCATTCAGGATCAGTGTTGGAAGGAGAGTTGCAAAGACCCAAACAGCTAAAAGGTAAATAATTGTAAAATCATGGACTAAGTACAGCGGTTCAATTCATGTGTTAGGTCTGCCCTATTACAAACTATAAAATATGGGCTGACAGAGGTAGGATTCCTTGGATATTAACCCACCCTTTGAAATTGGCTCAATTTTGTGTTTAAGGGAGGAGTGGGTATATATTCAAGGAACTACAATAATGAATGAAAGTGAGGAATTTATCATTAGGGCACATAGAAAAAATTATTAGATTATCATTCTTTAAAAAAAAAATTGAGGCGGACAGGAGGTTTTTTTCTTCTTTATTTGAGGTGGGGGGTTGAGATTATACCCAGGGATTCCTGTGTGCATGACATCGTTTTTTGAAATGCAGATGCATTTAAACAACTACCCTGTGATTCAAAGGCCAATCCAAATCCAGGCCTATATTCTATATATACTCGAGCATAGGCACCTAGGCTTTGGTCTTCACCTCGAGCTAGGCCAGCCTTTGCCTAAACTTTATTTCTTGATGTCGTAGGTTAGTTTTTGCCCAACAACAACCAATCCAACCAAACACACCCATCACAAGGATGACCGCCCACTTGTAATGCTTTATGTAACGAGTTATTTTTAGCAATGACGGTCTCTGTGTAACATGTGAGTCTACACGCCTACTGGGCGAGTCTCTTTAGGTACGGACCGCGGTGTTGTCTATTTTTAACCGCAGGTTTAGCGACAGTCAACAACAAGTTCCAAGAATGGGCTTTGCATTTTCAACTTTAAGGCGATCCCAATGTCTGATCTGATTAATTGAAAGAGTTTGAAGTCTGCCGAATTTAGAGCCAATTCCTTTATATTTTGTGAGCATTTGTTTTTATGAAGTTAAAATAAATGATGCGAAAAAAAAAAATAAATAAATAAATAAATAAAAAAATGAAATTATTCCCGCATCAATATTTCCAAAATTTTGGATGCGGGCGGGATTAATAATCTAATAAAATTTTTCTATTTGCCCTTATTATAACCATCTCACCACTGCTGCTGCTGTGGTTTACCCTGATGTTATAGTTAATTTCAGCCCCTGTCATTGTGGAATGATGTGAACTATGTGATGTGCTACCATGAAGCGCCTCTTTACAGCTGCTAGGAAGTCGGGGACCACGGCCATATGCAATTTACCACAAGTTATGGGTTATTCTCCTACCTTTACCTTTACCATTGTCATCATCACCTTTAATAACTACAGCATTAATGATCAAATAAATGTAGCAGTACTATTAATATTACATAATTTTGATTTACCTTGTACAGTCCAATAGAAGAAAAACACCTTTGGATTGTCTCTGACTTTGTTGAACCTGCGGTCTTGGCCAGCAGCCATGACTCTTGAGAACAGGTACAGTCCAAGCCTGAATGAAATGCGTCAATAAAAAGCAAAAAGGGAAACAAAATCCTTTGTTTAGTGTACCATTTTGTTTAAGGTCCCATAGTCATTAAAGAACTATGTTGAGCTAACAATTAAATTAAAATAAATAAATACAAAAAATAATAAAATATATTAAAAAAAATCCTTTAAATATTTGAATTAATATAGTTTGTATAATGTACATTTTCACTAATGTACAACACAACACGATACCCCTTATTTGAGCCTTGATACTGTAACTTATGGCAATTAAATATACATAACTAATATATTCCAAGTTTTCTTCTTTTAAGAAAGTTTTTAAAGATGTACTGTCCCTTGAAGAAAATATTAAAGGTATTTTTAAAATATTTTGAAATTTAATTTACTGTTTGTATCAGAAAAAAAAATGAAAATTTGACATACTAATTAAACGTTTTTTAAATGAGGAGCGATTGGCGCACCGGTTGTGGCTTGGACTCCCAACCTTGAGGTCGGGGGTTCGAAACTCTGGCTGTGCAAATCGCTTGTGTCCTTGGGCAAGGCACTTTATCTACGGTTGCCTCTCTGCACCCAGGAGTACAAGTGGGAACCTGGTAGGTTCCAACACAACCTGCGCTGATTACTAGCTGCAATTTATGGAATGATAATATAATTTCATTTACTAATTTAATTTGGTGTTTCAATGTGTTCCATATGTGTTTGATCCAATGACCGGGGTAGTAATGTGAAGCGCTTAGAGGCCTTGTAAAGGCATGAAGCACTATATAAGAACGACATATTATTATTATTTATTATTAATTCAAAGTTTAAATTGAATTTTTGAAGTTTTTTTGTAGATTTTACCATATGTGGCAAAGACAAGCCAAACCAGTCACTTGTCGCAAAAATTGATTATTAGTTATTAATACAAGGTTGAGAGCTATAACATTTAGTTATGAACTTACAGGAGGTTAAATATACAGCTGTTTAAAGAAAATATTTGAGAAATCAACCTTCAAATTTTATGATTTTGGGCATTTCTTAGGCAGGAACCATCACTAAATTGTTTAAAATTGTGTACAGATATATATAAAGGTTTGTTGAACTGTGCAAGATTTCCAAAATTTTGACATTGGTGGCATGTTTTGGCCATTATCTCCGAAGCAGGATTTGCGATGAGTGACTGGCTTGGCTTGTCTATACCACATATAAAGTTTGTCTTTAATATTGTTATCATCCATCATCTGTCCAGTTGTTGTATTGCCCATAAGACACGATGTGCCTGGTAATGATCATGAAATGACCATGTCCATGTAGGCAAGTCACATGGTTTTGTCCAAAAATAATGTCTGGTCAGGTCAGGGCTTACTTTACCTGCAACCCCATGCAGCTACCAGGCCTGTCTGTATTTTTTGTCTTAGATAATAATGACCACCCCATCTCAAGCTCTGCAGGGCCAAAAATATAAATGTGCCACTTCCTATAAAGTATAAGAGACAATATGAACACACTTTGAGAAACAAAAAAGCATGTTTAACATGATTTACTATATAATATTAATAAGCATTAATGTATTGTTCTATATTTATGCACATGGGAATATAACTGTCTTATGATAAAAGGCAATTCCCTTTCACAATACAGTATAAAGATTTTATTATACCTCCCACCATTGAATCTTACGAGTTACATAAACCAGGGAGTTGTTGCATAAACTAAATTAATAAAATGGAGTGGAGTTGTTTTGGTCATGAGAAAAAACTCATCTCACAAAACAGGAATTGAACCCATAACTCTGGGATTGTAAGAATTAAGACGTCTTCTTAAAAGTGGTTTATTTATAAAAATAATAATAATAATTACCAGCTAAATCGTAAAACTTTTCAGTTTTAAGAACCGCAGCTATAGCAAATAAGCCACATTGTATTCCGAAGTCTAGCAGAGCACTCCTTGTCAGGATGTTATTCATCAACGTACTTTCAGAATTTCCCATCCCATATATTTAAAGTCTAGGCCTCTCTGTACACACTTGACTGGTGTTTGTAAACTTTCTGTCACTTTTTATTGTCTTAGGCCTACCTAACACCGTACCACTCAACACCAGGTACGGGGCTCAATCCCCAGGGTCCTCACCAAGTTCTGTACTCAAGCAGGGTCTCGTCAAGGTGGTGTCGAGTCGTCCTTCTCGTCTCGCTTGAGGTACGTGAGTACGTAACTACCTCATTCTCAATAGCGACCATAAATTAGGTCTACAATATAATTATCTTGGAATACTACAAATGCTATTTAATTAAATTACTTTTTTAATAAATTACGTTGGCATATTTTTTATATTTATTTGGTATGTTTGATATTGCAGGTATTTTTTTGTGTTGAAATATCTTTCTGGTTAATATCAAGTTATTGATGAGGCCTGTCATGGCGGCCCCCACTGACTAAAATCAACAATCAGGGAGTTGAGCTTCGACAAAACGAATTTTGTATTTTGTAGGATCCAAACGTTTGGAAATTGAGCAAAGATTCTGTAGAGTAGTGTACTGTAAATTCATTTGCAGACATAAAACAAAATTACACAAAACAAAGTAAAAACAATAATGGCAGATGGCCAGGCCCTGTCCTAGTACAGTACTACTGATAGGCCTGCCACTGCCGGACTAGGCAGGGAGGAGGGAGGTGCATGCCTAGTCCTAGACAGGCATAGAGTAGGCAAGCCTCATGGCTAAGCTGGGCCTTTGCAGGCCTATGTGGGAAGATATCTGGCATACCAATACTGCCAAGCGGCAAGGAAGGATCATTCCTGCTGTTTTAACATGTTTTGACATTTTTAAGGATTTCCCCAGTGAAGTTGTAATTTATTTGAGGTTTCTTGACATAGAAATAAAAAATATTTTAAAAAATTTAGGTTTATGTAAAAAAAAAATTAAGCCTCTGAAAATTAGCAAACATGAAACTTTCCTGTATATATATAAAAATAATTCTAAAATACTATGGTATTTTTTCATCAGAAATTCCATACAGTGATCAAGGCATATAGGAGATATGCTGTTAGCTGGGAATGATGTCAAGTATTTTATTGATCGAGGCTTTTTACAGTGGCTCACATTCACAGTTGATTGACACCCTTGAAAACGGCCTAGGAGGCTGCATTAAGTACACTTTACCAGGCAAGAAGTGGCACTGGAGGGCAAGGACTGCAGCTCTTTATTTTTCTCAGGAAATTGTACCTAGCCACGAGTATAGGTAAATCATCATTATTGTTCGTACAAAACCTCATGTATATTGTTGATACAGTACTGTAATTGATTTTAATACCGCATATGTATACCTAAAATACAGTAATTGTTTTATTAGCTCTAAATCCAGTTTAATGTCTACATAATAACTATATATACCTCATACATAGATTCTAGGCATCTGATTGGTTAAGAAGCGAGCAATAGAAAGTACTATATCCCTCAAAAAGTATTATTTCCCTGAAAAATAATACTCTTTTGCCCTGTTGCATGTGCAAACTCTAAGCCCACTTAACATCGCTTTGACGGTAAAGGGGACTGCAACCTCTACGACGAAAAAGATTGGCCCTTGACCGCGCTGCAGATCAGCGAGTAGACGATAAACAAATATGGATGCCAGGCCTAGTCGGTTCGAGCTCCTGGATGAAGGACTGTCCTAGGCCTAGCATTACTTCTTGATGAAGCCGATAGAAAAAGCACCAAAAGAAAAATTAAATATGTCTTGTCAATATTGGACAAATATTGCAAGACGATGGGTGCTGTTGAAATTGAGGAAATGAACTAGACACAGTCTTTGATCACCTAGGCTAGTGTGTAGGCCTCTAGGCTAGGTTAGGAAGCAAGTACTTTTAGGTCTCGTAGAATTTATGTATGAGGTATATAAAACAAATATTGACTGCTCTAGATTCTGGGAACGGTGAAATTTATTCCCCTTCAGTGGTGTGGAGACTGTATGCCTATCTTCCCTCTGGTCTTCGGGAAGATAGGCTACGGTCTCCACATCACCGAGGGGCAATAAATTTCACTGTTCCCCTCAGGAGTTGTCGATATTTGTATGCTATACTTCTTGTTTAAAAATAGTCTTTATTCCCTCCACTTCCTGTGATATACACATATCTTCTTTTCCCTTCAACCTCCATGGTCAACTCATTGAATCAGTTTTGAGTTTGTGATTGATGAATAAACATCCCTTTACTTTTTGACTTTTGTCCAGACATTGTATGTTACGTTGAGTGGTCTATACCTGTTACACATGAAATGAACTACTGTATAAAACTAGAGTTTTTCTCTTTTAGAATTCTATTTACCAGCTCAGTGTTGAATCTGGCGGAATTGATAGCTTTGCGCCCTGACTTATTCAAGTTAAAAAAGATTGTTTACTTTCATGAAAACCAACTAGTCTATCCAGTCAGAAAACAGCAAGATAGAGATTTTCAATATGGATACAACCAAATAATAACATGGTATATTTTAAGTTCTGGGCCAATGACATGATTATAATTAATTTTGTCTCATTTGTATAGGCTTGGCTTGTTTTGTATTAATTTTTAGTGATTTTTTTTATTGTATTGTGAATTTGTTTTTTTATTGATTTTTGATCCTCTTTTGAAACCAGTACAATACTATGTTACTGAAAGTGTTATCACATAAGACAGAAATAAATAAATAAATAAATAAATAAATAATAAATTCCATAATATTTAAAGATGTTAAATCAGCAGAAAGCTGAATTATTTCATCGAAAGCTGTCTTGTTGAAATTTATTAATTTTGATCCTTATAAATAAGCGATTCATTGTTAATGAAAATTTTAAAAATTATTCCATATTTTACCACTGATCTTCACATCATATGTTTTTTTATCCAGCCTAGCTGCAGATGTTGTTCTTTTCAATTCCCAGTACAACATGGACTCTTTTTTGTCATCCATTGGGACATTCCTAAAACTGATGCCAGACTTTCGTCCTAAAGATCTCGCTGAGAAGATTAGACCAAAATGTCAAGTGTTGTACTTTCCAATAGATTTTCCTCAACTTAAAACAGAAAACAGTGCAATGTTACAAGATGGTAAAGAATCATCCACTACGATAGACACTTTGGAGACGTGTAATCTAACAGAGCAAAATGATTCATTACAGAAGAAAATGGAGACTTTAGGGATGAGTTCACAGATATCTGCTAGTGGAGTATTTGATTGTAATAATGTGAAATTGAACTTGGACGAAGCATTACATCAACCAGAATTAATGATACCCATTGAGCATCGACATTTTTGCCAAAAAGACTTGAATTCAACCAGTAGTTTAAATGAAGAGTGTACAGATGTTTGTGATCCTTCAGCAGATGAAATACGAACATTCAATTCCAGCTCAATTTCTCATCAGACATCTCCTTTAAAAATAATTTGGGCTCACAGATGGTATGTGCAGTACTACTAATCTGAGCATAAAGCAGTATAAAAGCAATATAAAAGCAGTGAATGAATGTTTCTGCCATCACATTGAAAACAACAGACATGTTGTATGCTATTGATACAAAAAGTTTCTAAATATTTTTACATCATTTAATGTTTTTTTTTTTAAATATCAGGGAGCATGACAAAAACCCAGAACTTTTCTTTAGTACATTATACAAATTACATGAGAGTGGAGAAAGCTTCAGAATCTCTGTTCTTGGGGAAAACTTCTCTGAAATTCCAGGTAATTATTCTACTGATGTTTTTAGCTTTTCAGTTAACTATTTTGATGAGTTTCATAATCTTTTACTATATCTGTTGTTCTTTCTGAACCCTTTAAGTTCTGATTTGGCAAACTATACAAACTCTAGAGTATCCATTTTAGAAGACTATTAAAACTAACAAAAAGTGTAAAAAGTAAAATGTGTGTGTCAATAAAATTACTAATTTTGAGCATATTCATGTTAAACTTTCATTTATCTTGTAGATATATTCAAGGAGGCATATGAGCAGTTAAAAGATTACATCTTACATTGGGGTTATCTAAAGTCAAAGGAAGAGTATTTCAAAGTATTGATAGAGGGTGACATTGCAGTATCAACAGCAAACCATGAATTTTATGGCGTTGCGATGTGAGTAAACAAGATGTTTTTACGAAATATGCTTCTGTATAATGTTTACGTATTGTATAAAATATGTCCAATAGACATTAGAGGAGTCCTATAATATCCAGGACCATGCGACAGTCAAGCACCTTAACCAAGCCTCTCTTAATTTAATTTTTATTAATGTTTCAGTAGAAAACAGAATTTTTACGAAAATGTAAATCTACAAATAATCAAAACCACCGGCAAATGTAATTGTACCTTTGACGTTTACAACTGTAACCCCCATTCTAATGAGTGGTGGTGAGTTTGAATATACTAACTTGTATACAATTTGATTGTCCTCTAGGCTTGAAGCTGTTCATTGCGGGTGTTTTCCATTGTGTCCTAATAGGTTAGTCTATCCTGAAATATTTCCAAGTAAGTCAGCTTGCTTTCTTTAACGTTCACACCCATATCAAACTATTGTTGTTAACTTAATATTTAAGGAAACTTGGGAGACAGTAATTATCATTCAGTTACTCTATTAATAATGACATTTAAAATCTAAAAGCAAAATTCCTGATTTTTGGTCTATGGGCTTATGAATGTTATTCATTATTAAATATTTATTTTTAAATAATCTTTCCACAGAGGATTGCCTTTACAACACTGATCAACAACTTTTTAAACAACTCCGAAGATTCTGCAGGAAACCCACACTTGTGCGTAACTACAACAGAAGCAGATTGAATGCAATAACCTCAAAGTGTAGCTGGACTGCTCTCAAAGATCACTACATCAATTTGTTTACAATTAATTAAGTAAACAATGCGTGTTTATCTATATGCTTAATGCAGAAGCAGTTGGCGCAACGGTTGTGGCTCGGACTCTCAACCTTGATGTCAGGGGTTCAAAACCCTCGCTGTGCAAGTCACTTGTGTCCTTGGGCATGGCGCTTTATCTACGTTTGTCTCTCTCCACCCAGACTGCAGTACGGGAGGAGTGGGGAACCCTCCACAGCCTTGAACATTCTGGCCCAAACGATAAAGAAAGACGGGCACTGTGACCTGTGAGCCCAGAGCTTCAGGTTTCGAGCTTTACCTTTATGCAGATAACCTTAATGTTTCTCCTACCTCCCTCTATGGCTCAGTTGTTAACATGGTTCATTAAATTAAATACTGGTACAGTATTTAGGAATATCCACATCTTGTGATCTCTAATGGCACACCGACATTAAAAATACTGTGTTATTCAAATATAATCCTTTTATAATAATTTCTGTGTGTTTGATATTATTTTATTGCAGTCTTAACATCACAAAAAGTACAAATTCTTTTCTAGATATTTCACACAAAGTTCAAGTACTTTCATAAAAATATACATAAGAATTATAATAAATCAACTATACAATCTGAAAAAGTTACAGATTTGCCATTAATTTGACTATATTCAAGAAATATATTTACATCAATCTTTAAAAAAAACAAAAAACAATGAAAACATTAATTCACACTTTATCATCAAGGTTGAGTTAAGTTGTTTCATGTTTGTGAAGCCAACTGTAGTTGGCGGGCTCCATACACATACTATACTATATCTTCGCACTCTGTAGTTGGCACCACATGTACAGCATAAGTTGGCACCAAACAAACATATGAATTTGGACGGAATTCATTGTCATTTCAGTACTGTATAACGACGATTGGCATGAAAATATACTTTCTCTACTCAATATTTTTTTGCAAATTAATGGACGGATTTTTGCAATGTTTATTTGGTTTTTCACTTATTGCTAACAATTCTAAAAAGTAAACAAAATCAAGGTGTCATATAAATAATATTATTTACAAGTTTGCATCACACACAATTAAAATGAATATTATAGATAAAGAAAGAAGAACCAACCTGTTAGCTCACACACTGGTGTGAAAATTAGAAATTTCAGAAAATAGTGCTTTTGGAATTTTAAGAACAATTTCTGGCAATCTTTCAAAAATTAAGTTTGCTAAACAAGGTATTATTAAAATCTATCTTTCTACTGCAATAAAACAGTTTAATTTTTGATATACAAATTTTAAAAATTGAATTGTGGCAAAAATAACTAAGGATAAATAACAGCATGTACTCTTAATTGATTGTACACATCGTCATTTAAATCAGACGGTAGGTTAACATGGAACAGGGCATCCTCGGCATCCACCACATCCTCAACAGCACTGGAGTGAACAGGACACTTGAAAACATTGCCCTCTATCGCTGACTTCTCCCACTGAATTGCGCGGTCGATTGGTTTCAGCCAGATAACTGGTAGTGATGATGTTACATTCTGCTGGTCATTGGTAGCGCTAATGTTCAGACATGCTCGTTTACTATCCCATGATGCATTGTTCAGTTGAAGTCCAATGAGGTACACCCCCTTTTCTGGTTGGACAGTAGGTGGTGTTATCATTCCTAGCACCTGATAAATAATATACATGAAAAGTATTTCTGTTAGGTTAATTGTTTCTACACTGCATGACGTTCTGTTAATTTTAGAACTTCAATGATTTGAAAACGACCTAATGGCAGTTCTAATTAAAACCCTGGGTCACTATTCCTTTGTTTGGATTTAGGGTCAGATACTTCCCTATACTTTTTAACCCCACTGGAATAATATTATACAGATCACCCTCCAATTTGAGACAAACTTTAGGACCTGAAAACTTGGGGTTGATCTCTAATCAGACAGAAGAGTATCTTTGTGTAAAGCAAGTGAAGACTGTTCATCTACAATTCCACTAAATTGAACTTACCTGTGTTTGTAGTTGAACTCTGTTAACCTCTATGTATTCCTTTCGTGCATACTCTTGAGCTATGGACTGAAGGAACATCTTAGGGTTGCTAAATGCACTTAACTCAAAAACACACAGATTTTCACCACTGCAATACTCGGTCAGAAGTCTCTGTTTTGTGTCTATGCATCTCCTCCAATGTTCAATAACTTGAGGGCTCTCTTTGCATACCATCCAAGATGAAGGAACATAACCAGCTGTAACCATCTGAACATCAAGTAACATTGCAGGTGTTAGTGCCACTTCTCCGTTGATGCCGTCCACGAGAACATCTATGTCAGACACGACATTACTCAGGTGAGACTGGTAGACCAAGGTTTCTGATGCCAAGAAATTGTCCAGGTAATTTAAACCATCACCAGGTGTATAAGATAATTTTTGTAGTTCCTGGATAAAGTGTTTGATGTTTTGCAAGTGTACAATGATGCCAACATAGCTTGTCTTTAATGAGTCGTGTGGTTCACTATGAATTTTAACCAGGTCCTTACAAACCAATCTAAACAAATACAATGAACCAAAATGATAATTATACCAGACATTTTGTGCAAACTATATGAAGAACCAAAAATATTAATATTGTTTGGTAGTTAAAATAGAGCTCGTCTATACTGCTACTACTACTTGCTGAATTGACCAAGGAGTTTCTTCATTATCTAGGACAGCAGCATACAGTACTGCATTGTTGAAGTCACAAAACCATGCGACTCCTCTTTGTTACCGAGCAATGATACTCAAGTAGTCGATTTGCCTTTTACAACCAAACCAGCCTTCATAGCATTTTCAACTTGCCTGTCTTTTATATTTTAAACTTGTGTATCATAATTCTATCACTTGAAAAAGCTGTGAAATCAACCAACTAGAGGCACTCAGCAGTATTGACTGTATGGTAGGTAGTTATCTAGTAGCAAGTAGTGTCATGTGGTACTGTGATACAACAACATATCTGTAGTACAATATATTTAATTATACTTGTAGGTTGGCAGTTATCCTGTTAATATAAAAACTTTAAAGAAGTTTGCTGGCTTTTGGTCGCCTCAGTTAAGCGCCGTGCCTCAATCTGGATTGATATATAAAAGAATTAAAGGCTAACTTACTTGCTTAGCTTAATGTTGTGCTTGTTGGTAGCAACAGGAGATAACCCCAGCGATGAGGGAAGTATTTCATCTTTCATGTTATCAAAGATGCTTTGGTATTGCTTCAGCTGACTACTCCGTGGTCTCGTACTGTCAACCAGTTTATGTAGGAGGTGTTGTGTACCTGTGCTTGGAACTGCCTGTTGCTAAAAAAAAAAAACAAAAGCCTCCAATTTTCACTAATAATTTCAGAATAAAATGTCAGTCAACAAAAGACAACATTAATTAGTGAAAAACATCATTCATAGAATGACTTATAATCTAATGAAATATATATATTATTTAAAGTATCATCAATTATATACACATGCATAACCGCATACTAAAACATCCACACCCACCCACAGTCTGTAAAAATTGAAATTGAACTAACTTTCAACTGCTTGGCTGGAATAATTACGCTCCTAACTAGAGACTGTATCAGTAGTTGATCCTGATGATGCCTTACGTGGCCTCCATACACCAGCAGTGCTATCATATCCTGAATGTGGTTGTAGTTATCAATGTTACACCTTGTTATAACATCTCCTACATACTCAACAGCTGATGTAAGATCTTTTGAGTTCCTGAAATACATTAGAAATTGTACTGTATATGATGATTACTGAATGAAACTGTAATAACAATAAAAAGCAAAGTGATGACGAGCATAATGATAATGACAATCAGTAATATAATGATTAGTCTTTTAATACACAATGTGTTCAAGTATGGTTCTGTTTCTTTTGTTTTTTTTCAATATTTTAGTGATAGTATTCTATCTATCTACTGAATGAAAGAAAAATTGGTGTTAATTGAGTTCGCTGTCTGGGAGCATCATGTGAAGTGGGTCTGCTGCCTGTGAAAGAGTCTTGAAATAGAAGCAGAAGTGATGATAGGACTGGAATGAATAAGATAGTCTACCCAAAGACCTGGGTTACACAAGTCTAAATAACATTATTGGTAGGCCTATTGTTTGCTAGTCCAAAATACACACTCACCACTGACAGTCAGTTGCCATGCCAATGGGATGGTAACGTCTCCTTTGTGATAAAACTGCATGCAGTAGAGATGTTGAAAAGATCAACTCATTGAGAACCTAAAGAAAAATCAAATCTGTGTTGAGAGAGATTGGAGAACATTGCATTTAAGTTGATGACATGTTAAACACCTTCTTCAGTACTCGAAAAACATGCATTTGTGTATTTATATATTCTAACACCTTTCTTGGTTTTGCAAGAAATTACATCGCTTCTTTCTTAGATCAATATATACCACTCCACTACATTTTATGATGATGCATTCATTAGTTTTTATTTCATCCTGGTAATAAACACAGACCGACTGACTGACAGAAGCGATGAATACATAGCCTCCTTGGTGGAGGTAATTAATTACCTTGACATCTACAGATGGTTTCAACATGGCCGGCATGGTGTGAGCATCCTTCATCACAGAATTGAAGTGATACATCAGAGAACTCTTGAAGTTTGAAGTTGTCTGGCAAAATACTTTAACCCCATGCTGGGTGATGATGGCTACGGCAAATAAGAGGGAAAATATAACAAGTATAATTTTCAATGAAGTTTTGTATACATAGGAACTTTATCACCAACAGAATCGAGTGTGACACTTGAAACCGACATTTATTGCTATATATTGTGGTGTCCCTGTCTTAACTGCTCAGACATTTGACAAAGACATAACATATTAATGAAGAGAATGTTAATACCTGGAAGTGGATTGGAGCTGTCTGCAGCCGTGGTTATCCAGAGTCTGAAGCCAGGATGTAGTGTTTGGGGATTGCTTTCATGCATCTGCTCAATATGTGCACCTAATGCACTCTAGAATATGAAGATGTATAACGCATGGAGATGTCGACAATAATCATGATGATAATAATAATAATAATAATATCTACAGTACCATAATAATAATCATCATATTATAATTATAATAAATGCTACTATTTGGCTGAAATAATTCATGTATACATTCTACCAATGTACCTACTTAGAGTCTCATAGAATAAATTGTCTGGTTCAAGGACAAAAGCAATATGACACTTATTAATCTTGAACTCACGATTACAGTATTTGGCTGGAAAGCCCACAGACTTGGTGTTGCACCACAGGCTTCCACAAGAGCAATGAGACATTATTTGCCAATTCTCGACAATTTTTGCAGGTGACCCAATACCCTTGACATATTTTGCATTATTACACAATATATGAAATATTTTTTATTACTCTACCTTCAAAAGGTCAATGAGTCTATTATTCCAGTGCTCCACTAGATGGCAATTGCTTAAGACCAGCCAGTGACCTTTAACCTGACAGTCATTTAGAAGTTTCTCAGCTTGCAGCAATTGTGAAGGCATACCCATTGAAACAACGTGAATAACCCTGTTATGGAAAGTATGCTTGGCTTCCTGCAGCACCTCACTGACAGGGTCGAATAAACTGTGTCCTAAAAAATATGAATAAAAGTTAAAATTGCTAAAGCTCCCTTCCAGAATTGACCTCTCAAAAAAATATTGGGATTACCAATCCTGGTAAGTGCTTGAAACCAATCCTAACATCCTTATTCTCTTTTCTAAATCCATCAAATTTGATTTGATAAAAACATGTGACATGCCTAAATATGGTCATGATGACATCACATCATGACCATATATAGGCACATCATATAGGCCTACCATGAGCTTAACGTAATTTACACAAATTTCTAAGTGAAAGCCCAACTTTCAATCACAAACTAATAAAATTGAATTCATGA